CTAGAGTCCGCGCGGACGATGCCCGGACGACCGGTCTTCTCTATCCCCAATTCTCGCTTCCTGGTCCTTCCTGAATCACCGTCACGCGGTCCTAGGTTTTTACGTAAGGTAGCTACTTAGATAACCGGGCTCCTAGCTAAAGAGTTAGCTAAACTTTTAGCCTCCTTGCGGTGCCTATATATTCGATGCTGCAGCGTTGGTAGCTGCTAAACTGTGCTTGGACTTTCCAAGAATGCTTCTCTTATGCTACCTATTTCTCTTCGGTGTTATATCGACGAATATTTATTTAGCTAGATTCATCGCTAGTTAAAACGTGTGCGGTAGTCAGGGTTTTTCCAGTCTCCTCGTAGCTTCTTCTTTTATTCGCCGCTGCAGCGTTGGTGGGGCCCGTTCGTGGCTAAACTATGTTCGACTTCTCAAGAATTTTTCCTTATGCCACATATTTTTATTTAATATTATATCGGCGTAATGTACACCGTAAACAGGATCTTTTAATCTTTCCTCCTTATTTTCGTTAACTCCCTCCGCGTGGAAGCCACTCGCGATGTTTGGAAATTTCAGGAGGACGTAAAGAAAGCTGTTACTGATGCGTTTCTTGCTTCGTAGCTGCCTGACAGGGTATAGTGTTTCCCCAGGAGTCATAGTCTCTCCAGTTTCAGCCGTCATTTTTGCTCTGGTCGTTCTCCAGTCTTCGGGTCCTCTTCTCAGAGGGATTTTCGTTATTTAAGTAAAGGTTAAACCGAATAAAAATCATACCCGTTCTAGGTGTTTCTCTCTCTCTCTCTCTCTCTCTCTCTCAGCCGATAATTTTCATTGTTCGAAGCTGTCCCTATCAGGATCCCCAAAAAAGGTGGTGATTCTTAATCGATGACGAACGGTTTCCAGGTCTCTTCTTGGTCGATCGACACGCGGGGAACTGTAGCCGTCGAGCCGCCGGCCGATGGAGATCTTCGATGGTTTTTGCAGAGTTTTCATTAGGACGACGTTGATCTCCGTGCGAGGAAGGCTGACAATGTAGTTTACGGCGACGCTCGGGCACGGTCACGATCGCCGTTTTTCTATTCGATGATTCCTGAAGCGGCTCGAAGCGGACTCGGGCCAGGGAGTGGCGTAAAAAGGAAGTGGGTGTGAGCACACGCGAACCGATGCGTGACGCTGGGCTCGATGGAGCCATTTTGTGTTCACGGAAAGGGACCATCTTTGATCGGCCCGAGGGAGTTCGCTCGCGTGTAATTGTCCCGCGAGCTTCGGAGATTCGAGGAGCACGCTTTTGCCCCGGATATTAATGCCACCGAAGAAACCGGGCTCTTATTTAATCCGCTCCGACCGATCGCCGACACTTTTTAATCAAGCAAATCGCACCGGCGCGGCGCGCGCTCACCGAAATAGCAAACCGTGGATTTTCCTTTTTCCTTTTCGGTCTACCTCCGAACCGGTTTCAATTCCGAGAATTGGCTCATCAAACTTTCACGCTCGATTACGTAATCGAAACGACAAGAAAATAGAGATTCTACCGAAGTGAAACAAACCCGCCGAATAATCGGAGCCGCGAATTTTAAAAGAGGAAAATAATCGGCGAGATCGATTATATCGTCGCAAGGTTGTCGCGGATCAATTGTCGGACGGCTCGAGAATTTCTGCGAACGGAAACTCGCCGGTACGATTCTTCTTTTCTGCTATCTACGAGGCGGTGCGCTGTGGCTGGTCCCGTGACCGGATAAAAGCTCGGCAAAAATTGCCTTGGACGAGAGACAGCATCTCTTTTCTCCGGAGCAAAAGCGATAAAGTCCGAAGGCCGTTCTCGCGGCGCGCAATTCTTTTCCCGTCATTTCTCTTCTTTTTTTTCCCCGTTCGCCAGCCGTCTCCTTTCCTTGGCTCTCTTTTAGCCGCAACGAGGCCGCGAGCCTCGCCGGCAGACAACCTTCGCGCCATACAACAAACCAAGTCCGCGAAAGATATCCGTCTTTTGCTTCTTTTATCCTCCGCTCCTTTGCCGATCCGTAGTCGCCGGGTTTCGCAACTGGCCCGAGAAATTGTCTTCGGCTTTATTAATGGACGCGATCCGTGCGGCCCTTTCCGTGCGAAAATCTCTTTTCTCTTCTTTCAATTCTCTCTGGTCGATGTTTCTTTGAACAATGCATGTGTACATATATTTATATATTCTGAATAATCTATTATCATCATTTTTGATAGGCCATTTCGAAAAATTGTCGTCTCTTCGAGCTAAGCTTGAGCAATTTCTGTCGCTATTTACTCGCGAACGAAGGATTCTGAAATGGGACGTTCCAAGCCACGTTTCCTGAACCACCAGAGCAAAATTTCCACGACGTATTCTTCGTACCCATTTTTTTCTGGTTCATTAATTTTCCGAGTTCTTTTTCTAAAAGCGACGTCAGCTTCTTTGACATCAGTCGGATATAAATGAATCTTTCAACAATCGTCTCAATTCGGTGGAACCGTTGACTGCAATTCTCAGCAATTCATCTTCCCGAATGATCGACGAATTAATCTTCGTAATAATAATCTTCTCGTTAACAGTAACAATAATCTGTCGAACGGTCCCGTGTGCTTGCCCAGTAACAATAGAGGAAGGATTTGGACGGCGGCGACGAAAAAAAAGCCGGCTCGCTGTCGGAAATAATCCGCGATTTCTTTGATCGTGTTTGGTCTCTCGCGCCTCTCCGGCTCGACCCGACGCTTTTGTGGCCCGCGCGCATTGTTTCCTCCGGTTCTTTTCCATTTTTTTTCCTCCCCCGGCGTGTCACGCGCCGGTAATCCGCGCGTTATGCGTGTCCGATCGCCCCCGAGCACGGCCGGCTCGGCTCGGGAACATGAAAACGAAAAAAAAAAAAAATGAAACTGTGACTGTGACGGGCGAAAGGGTTGAGGCAGAACGATGTTGCGCCAATAGCGGTTCGTTCGGTCGGTAGATTGGACGGGGAAAAAAAGCGACGGGGTGTCGCGGACAATAGCCAGAATTCTCCCACCCCTGCGCGCCAGCGATGATTTCATTAGGCTCGCCGTTCTGCCGATCGGGAGAGTGTGTACACACCGAGGCGACAAGGACCGTGGAGGGGAAAAAAGGGCCCTCAGGGGCGGGGTCTCTGAAAAAATTATTAATACGAGGGGCACCGGTGCGGAAGAAAAAAATGTCGGGGACCGGGAAGGGGTGAGAGCGAGGGGTCGACCGCGTTTCTTCTCGAAAGATTTTGGCAATTATACGGGTCGAGGTCCGGCTGATTTCTGCGGCCTTCGTTACGTTACCACGGTTCGAGCAACTCTGCTTGCAATTTGTAGGTAATCGATGCACTTTAATTTCAATCTTTGACCGTAAAAGCAGCTCGATCATTTTCTCTCAAATAACAAGTTTCGGAAGAAGTTGTTAAATTATGCGGATCCGAGCAATTTGTCGAATTATGTATGAAATTGCTGTCACTTTTGAACAATTTTTTAAGGAATTCTCAAGCTTATACTTTAAAATGAACATTAGAAAGCTGCTGGCATTCGAGGTGTTAAGAAATTGTGGGAAATCTTGAGACAATACATATTATTATTATTGTAAGTATTTCAAATAATATTTTAAAGTACATATTATCGAATAATTAAGAAATTGAAAGTATCCAGCATGGTTGTTGGATAGATCTACTTCTTAAGCAGTGATAACCACAATTATAAATAAACAGAGCTGCTCGAGTCGTTCAAGTTTATTAACACCGAGAAAACAGGCTAATCTGTGCTAATCTCTTGAATCACCTAACGCAAAAATGAAACTATCTCCGGTATTTATGCTCGTACGTTACAATTCTTTCTACTACTAAAGTTCTGCAATCTCGAGGGACTCGCGTAATAATCGAAAAATAATGTACCGAAGCTTGCCTCTATCGCAGTTGTCGAAGCTATTAATTTTTGTTTATTAAGATAACAGCGAGTTCAGCGGCAAAGGGGCAAGTGCAAGTTCAGCCATGTGCAATAGTTGACCTTTAAACGACCTTCAAGTTATTCTTATCAGATTGCAATTTAACGTCGACAGTTTAAGGATTCTTTATTTCTGAGGCTCGATGCTATTGATTTATTGATATTGCTGCACGAGAATAGACCGCTAATGCGTTCGAAAACTGTTGCAGCGAAGAAATGTTGCACGTTCGAGAAACTAACGGGCGTGCTTACGAGCCGCTCTACGACGGATTATTGAAAAATCGCGCCGCGTGTGCGTGCGCGCAACTCTCGTTCGCGGACGTTCGTTTCTGGTGACGGTGTATAATTACCAAAAGCTTTCGCCGAAGGAATTCTTCTTCTGGGAGGATGGTGTGCGAGCCGCCACGTAAGGCCGTCCCACTTTTCTATTTTAACGCGGCGAAACCGGCGAAGTCCTTCTGGAGTTTCGCCAGACGACGATGTTTATTCGCACGAGGGGGAGGTTCCGCGCGGAGGTGGAGGACGTGGTTTATCCTCTCGTCCCGATCGCGAGAGAGAGAGCGGCGACAAAAAAAAAGAAGAAAAGAAAGAACTAACGAGCGGCGAGAATTTCGCGAGCCGGTGAACCGCAAGCCGAGAGCGTAACGCGAACGCGAACGCGACGTTTCCAGGTCCCGATAGGATCGGCGAACACACACGGAATCGTTTTCGATTATTGGATCCGTTTAGGGGCTCCTTCGAGACGGTGGGAAATCAGGGGAGTGGGGGACACGTGGGAGGGAGTCAATTAATTAACGAACGAGTGCCAGATACCAAACACGTGGAGGGCGCCTATTTCTACTCTCCTTCGAATTTTATCCTGTTTCGAGGTTTCTTTTAATATCCCGCTGGTGAAAGTATCGATTCGGAAAAGAGCATAACGAGTCGCAGTGTCGTCGACGTTACAGGCGACGACGTACACTCGTCTCGTCTCGAGCGGAGGATCTACGTGGAACATGAAAGGCGAAAGTTTTGCAAGCGAGAATCGAAATTACACCCGAAAGGAATTCCCATGGGCTCTGCCGTTATTGACCCGATCGTTTTACCTTTAATCGTTGCCATGGGTACTTGGAACACTGCGACAAAGAGAGACCAGCATGAAATGGAGATCAATTTGCATTAATTCTTATTTGAAAACATTCTAATCTTTCGTAATTTTCATTCATTCTTTATTTTCCTTTTATTTTTTGCTTTATGCCCATCCAACGTCCCACGTACGAGAGGAATAAGATAAATGGAACAAGCGTTTTATTATTCGTGTTTTTCGACGGGTGCTTTTTCTGAATTGATTTCTCTTTCCTTTTTTATTTTTTATTTTTTTGTTGGCCGAAATTTTGATCTTTCCTTTTCGTTTTCTCTTCTTTTCTTTTCTTTTTACACGAATTCGAATTGTTCTCTTCGCTTTTTTCGTAATTTTGATATATTATTATTTTAACCGCGACGATCGCGACGGCGGCGGCGACGACGACGACGACGACGACGACGTGAATTTGGAAAAAAAGTGTCGAGAGAGAGAAAGCAGCGGCTTTTTAGAACACGGAACGAGATCCCCGTGGCGAGGAAAAATAAATCTAATGGCTAACGAGTTTTTACCGAGGCTCCGCGCGCTCGGGCAATTAAGAAGAGGGTTGGGGAGGGAACTTGATGGGGATAGAGAGCGGGCCGGGGGGGATGGAGGGGCAGGAGGGGCAGAAGGCCCCCGGAGGTGAGTCGGAAGAAGGTCGAAGGTACGAGAAAGTCTGCCAGGCAGAAGGGGTTGCGTATCGTGTTGCACGACATTCAACCCTTGTACCGCTAAACTACAGATAAATACGAAGGCTCCGCGCCACGCGAAAGTGGGTAAAGACGCGGCGGGAGAAGCAGCGAAGAAACCCAGCCACCCACGAGTTCGCAGTGCTCCGAATTTCCTTTTCGTTCCTTTTTTTAAACCCCGGCCCCCTTAATTGTTCGACACCTCGTTATTAGGCTGTTCGATAAACGGCGAGAACACTTTTTACTTTTTACCACTCGCACGCGGCCGTTCGTTTCACAGAACACCACCCCGATCAACCCCCTTGCTCCAATTTCGCTAGTTGCGCTTTCTATTTGCGGCTTTTCCAATCTTTTCGTACAGTTTATTTGCCATTATACACCGTTCTATGGATGCGGAAACTTTTCTTTACGTACTGTGCGGGAGGAATTATTCGAACAGCAATTTTAACAGCGCTTAATTTGTTGCATCGATTTTTAGACTGTTGAGGAATACAAATTTGCACTGTATTCAAAGCAGTTTCATTTTATTTCTAGCATTTTGATTTGAATCATTTTAATCAAATATATAACATCGAATATTAATTTGTACATTGCTGATTTGATGTATTTGTAATAAAAATAAGAGTGTGAAATTGAAAACTTGAGAAATAGTAATGTTAGCTGTATTTAAAACAGTGGCATTTTATCGTTAACATTTTCATTTGAATCGTTCATTTGTAGATTGCAGATTCGATGAATTTGTAATAAAAATGAGTGTATGGAATTGAAAAGTCGAGACATACTAATGTCAGCTGTGCTTTATGCACAACACTGTGCTGAAGCAATTTTTAGGAATCGTTGAATACGAATTTCAGCCAAGCTTGATGCAATTTAATATTGTTTCGATCGATCGAAAGGGAAAGGAAATATTCTGCGGATTTTACTTTATGCAGCTGATCGGTTTGGCTTCTGAGATCGATTCTCTATTAAAAGTTAGTATATATTCCTCAAGTAATTTTTGCCATTCATCTCAAAAAATTTAGGAACTTTACTAAAAATCTGTCCAGATATGAAAATCGAACGATTATGAAAAAAAGAAAAATCGCTCTACTCATTTGGAATTCTCGTCCCCGTAGATCGCGAACGAACCCGACTATTTCCCAAGAAAAGTTCTCACTGTTCATCGACAGCCCTGGCCATTGGTGCATACGAAACGTGCAGTCCCAGATAGAAATCGCGAAAATCTTGAACCCGTTGCTTCTAAATTTACATTCGCCGAGGAAATCGTAACATTCGCGACTAAAACACGACCGTTGTATCGAGACCTAAAATCTACGAACGAAAATTCCTCCACCCGGGGGTGGGCTCCCCTAAAAATCGCAACGCCGAGCGCCCCGGAGCCTTGATAATTGAACAAAGTGTCAGTCTGTCGGTTTGGATCGATCGACAAAAACTAGCGTCGGCAAGACGAGCATATAGGTCACTCTAGCAGATAGACGATTCGCCATCGAGCGTCTTATCTTATCTCGGCGTTGCGATTTTTCCGTCGGCCGACTCGCGCATTATACAATCCATGAAAAACTTTCCCGTTGAAACTCTCGGTGACTGTGTTCCGCGTGCACCAACAACGATTGAAAACGATTTCAGTGTATCTCTCTTTCTCTCTCTCTCTCTCTCCCTTCCTCTCTTCATCTAGAGAGTCTCCGGATTCTCTTTTGCGACCGGTGCGTCCCGCTGTCTATCGAATCGGAGTCGAAAGCTCGTGTTCCGCGGATCTCACTCGAAGAAAACGGAACAAAGAAAGGGGTAACAGTTCGTACAAGACGCGCGAAGGGAAGCGTGTACCAGCGGATAGAGCACGGTTCGGGAAGGGGTTGAAAAGGGGGAGGAGGGAGATAGAAGAAGAAGAAGAAGACGAAGAAGAAGAAGAAGAAGAAGAAGGGGGGTCGTAGGAAACGCAAGTTTCTATGGCTGGCTACCGATCGTTCTCCATAATACATTTACGCTCCGGCCTATTATAATATTGTACTCGGAGTGTATTGTCTTTCTCGGCCGGGATAATGTTTCGCCGACACGCCAGGCCTCGACCCACAGTATAACTCTTTCATTTCCCCTTTCTCTTGCTCTTCCTTCCTCTCTTCTCTCTCTCTCTCTCTTTCTCTCTCCGTCAGTCTCTCTCTTTGTCTTTCTTCGTTCTCTCTCGCCCATCCGGGGTTTTTTCTTTTCCAACAACGATCCATTAGCTATCAGGCCGGCAGCGAGCCGAGGCCGGTTCGAGAAGGAACGACGGACGAAACCGGGGGGCTAGTAGATAGCCTGGAATAGCGAAAACAATTTCAAGAAATCTGCCCTGGCGAAAATTCGATTAGCCGCGCGAGATGGGCTCTCGGTCCCTGTCTCTCTCTCTCCCTCTCTCGCCCTCTTTCTCTCGCTCTCTTTCTCTCTCTCTCTCTCCCTCTCTCCGTCTTCTCTCCATTTGTTTCGTTTTATTTTATTTGCAGCGGGTCGACTCTGTTTCTGTCGCGCTGGCGGCTTTTAATTACTTCTCTGCGTCGCGGGAGATCCACTACCCGGTATCCTCGGCTCGCCTCGCTTTTCTTCCTTCTTTTCATCCGCCTCGATTTTTCCTCTTGCTCGTGTCGGACCCGTTCCCCCGCCGCCCCTCCACCCCGTGGGAAGCGAGATTTATCGGCCGGCAGAAAGAGAGAGGAAGAGAGAGAGAGAGAGAGGCTTGCGAGCTTTTAGCCGCGGATTAGCTTTCAATTAAAACGATCCCGCCGAAGGAGCGATATTTATTGGCCGCGGATTACGGTCGCGTGCCCGCGCGTACCGACGCACCTGATTCCCGATACGCTAAAAACTGTGCGTCCGGTCGACGCTTTAATATTCGAGTTTTAATCAAACTTTCGATTGAACCGCGCGTTCCCGGCAGGCCGGACGGGGGGTGGATGCGCTCCCAGGGGGACGGTGTTGACTCGGACACGGCCTTTGGCGCGCGTTCGTCGCGACGCTAATGGATAATCGGTCGCCGGTTTTATCGCTTCCTCTTCTTCGCGAAGGTAGGTCGGTTAAGTTTACGACTGGTTACGCAACGTACCCGGTCTAATTGGCCCCGGCAAAAAAGAGCAGCCCGGTCCCGGACCGTGCTTTTTTCAGCGGCGCGGAAAGAAGCGCGAATCTTGAGGAACGCGCGAATACAGAGTTAGAGAGAGAGAGAGAGAGACAGAGAGAGAGAGAGAGTGATAGAGAGAGTGATAGAGAGAGAGAGAGAGTAGGAGAGTGAGAGAGAGTGAAAGAGAGTGAAAGAGAGAGTACGAGAGGGGAAGCGAGAGTGGGACGAGGAGGAGGCCTGGGAGAGAGAGGAGAAAAAGGCGCGGCAGGACCGAGTCACGGACGGCTCCCGACAGATGCCTTCCCACGTTTTTTCGCCAAGACATGTGCCCGGCGCGGCGAAAGGGTTGAGAAATTCAGTTGCTCCGACGAGCCCCGGCAAAAAACCACCCCACGGTACAAGATTCCTCTGGTAATCGGTGCCAGCGAGCGCCAGCGATCCGAGAAGGGGTGAATTCGATTAAGCGCCTCTCTCTCTCTCTTTTTCTCTTTCTCTCTCTCTCTCTCTCCCGCTCTTCGAACGATCTTCTTCCCGGATCAGCCGATTTTTTCTCCTCTTCTCTTCCTCGTGCTGTACACCGTTTCTTTATCTCTCGAGTCGAGCATTTCCTTCTTCCTTTCTCGATATCGCACCTCGGTCGGGGCCCGAGGAGACGCGCGAGCTCGCTTACGTATCGGTAAAACGTCCCTCGGCGACTTTCAATCGGTTCTCCGTTTCTCCCGAATCGGGCCTGTCGTTTCTTTTCGAGGATCGCTCGCGTTTGCTCTGCGAACTCCCGTTGCGAGGGGAGAAGCCCGGCGAGAAGTACCACACCACCAAAAGCAGTCCCCCAAAAAGCGTGTTAACGAAGAGCCCAGCGAAGAACGATCTAAGCTACCGTTAGGAGATCTCTTCTTCTCGCGGATCGGCAGCGGACGCTCTCTGCACGGCGGTTGTTCTTTCTCGTTCGTACGTTCGATCGATCAGATTTCAGCAGAGATTTCGCGAACCGTGCGTCGAGTTCTGCTGCCTGCGACGCGACGCGACGCGGTTCGGTTCGATTCGGTTCGTCGTCTATCTATTTTTTTTTTTCATCAGCGAAGCGCTATGGAACGTAGTCTGAGGGGGTTGAATGGATGCCTAACGATCGAGAAGGGAATGGATCTGCAGAATCGCACGGAGAGAAGCGTGACCCACCCGCCACCATGTGTGCATATAGAGAAACGCGTTGTTCCGTGCCGCGGTTAAACGTTATTGTGTCACTATTATTATGATTATTAGGCGTTGCGCACGTCCCGGCAAGAAGAGCGTTCGTTTCTTTTTGTTTCTTTTTCCAGCGGATTACCAATAAAATTGCGATTGAAGAAAACGTTACCGGTTATTATTAGAACAAAGAGAGCAGACGAAATGGTCGGTTTGCAGAATGCGTGAATAGAGAATAAGAGAATCGACGTGCGAGCGAGAGGTTCGCACGTATAAAGTGTACAACCGTATTCCGAGATTCTAGAGACCCGAGATTCTCCGGATCGTCCCGAGCGTGGATTCAATATTTATTGTCGTGTGCGAGCACCGCGTTATGTAGCCAAAATGCCTGTTGTTGTTGTTGTTGTTGTTGTTGTTGTTGTTGGTGGTGGTGGTGTTGTTGGACGTCGGATTTGGTACATACATGACTGACCTTCGACGTGTGGGTACGAAGGCTGGATTCTGTGGCGAAGCCTTTGCCGCAGATGCTGCAATGGAACGGCCGGTTCTTCGCCCGTTCCACCTGGGCGTCGTGATTCCGAAGGTGCTGCTGCAAATTCGATAGCTGAATGAACGCCCGCCCGCAATCCGGTAGATGGCACTTGTACGGTCGTTCACCTGCAATCAGAAATGTGTGTCTCCTGAGACCCGAGTCGAATGCAAGATACGCACGGTTTCGCGAATTTTTCCCCACCGTTTCCCCTCCGCTGCACGCCCCGCCCTCCCCCCCGGACTTCTTCGCGAATCTGTGTCACGAGCAGTCGCTGAAAAATCGAGGCGGTTCGCACCTGTGAAAGCCGGTCTTCGTTTGTTATTCGCCAGATTTTTACGGATCTCCGCCGGCCGATTACCGGCGGAATTCGCTTTTGTTCAACTCTTTCGCGGCGGAGACCTTTTTTTCTCCGCGGCGAGTAGCACGCATTATCGCGCTCGAAGCGACGAAGAAAAGTCGCTTTTCGCTCGACGATTTACTCACGATTCTGTAAAATATTCGATGACATATTTGGAAGATATAAAACATTAGATAGTTCCAATGTGTACGAAGAATTAATTGAACAGATCGAAATAATGATCTCGCGGTAGTTAGCGAAATATTTTTAACAGGTAAAAGTTCGCGAAGTGGTGGAACGCGGTGGCCGTAGTTAAGTAGACCGTAACCGTAGGTTCGACGACAAAAAGTAACGTCTCTAAAATTATCGAAGAACCCTGGCGAGATGATTTAGATGTTCGCGTAATTCTCGTTCCTGGAAATGAATGCGGACGACTTTGATTTCGCACGAGGATCCGTAATCGGAATCCAATCCACTGGATGGTTAAACGTATTCGCTCTTTTCTATCCTATTCGCGTAATAGCCGCAATCATACCGAATCCATAAAACCGTGGGATCGTATGCGATGTAAAAAGCGGATTGAAGGAGTTCCCCGAGAATGCAGAATCGTCAAGGTAAATAGCCTAGGATGAATGCGCGGAACTTAAAACAGCACGAAGACTCGAAGAATCTAAAACGATTAATAAAAGATAATTTTATTCGTGTCGCGCCGAAGTTCTACGCGCGAAGATGTATGGTTCGGCCGTAAAGAGCGGAAAACTCGAGTAAAATGGCTCGTATATTCGAACGTGTAACGAGGGCGTCATCGGGTTGGATTGCATAAAAAGATACGCCGATAGAGAGAACGCATCGCCTCTCTCGATTTAATGAATTCACCGCGGGACAGCGTGCTTTCCAGCCGGACAACGAACGGATCGAACCGGTGGAAGCCGAAGTGGATAAAAGGGGAATTAATTCCCGGCGTTTCACACGTGAAAATTACACGAAATTATGCGGAGACTGGCTAAACGAGTGACTGCAATTTTTATCGCGATCGTTTAATACTAATAGGGTGGTTGGACGGGACGGGAACAGAGAGAAAGAGAGAAAGCGAAAGGGAGAACGAGCGGGAGAGAGAGAGAGAAAGAGAGTGGACGAGAGCAAAACGAGAGTAAAAAAAAGGGAAAAAGAGAGGATGAGAGAGAGAGAGAGAGGGAGAGAGAGCACACAGCCGAGATACGGGAGCCCGAGACAACTTTTTTCCGGGGGACGCGAGCAACAGGTATCACCGGCGAGATTTAGGGGTGAGCGTAAAAAATGCCACTCGTTTTAAAACGGCCATTAGAGCCGGTGTTTCAACAACCCGTATAACCCGACGGCTGATTTAAAACGACGGATGCGTTCGTTGCTTCCGTGTCGTGTCTTCCTGTCGCCGGTACATTAATAATCCTTAACCGTGTTTCACCCGACAACTTTTAATCCCTCGCACGCTTTTTTCTCTCCTCCCGCGCCGCGATTTTTCATAGGAGATTTACAAGTCTGTCGATCCGCGTTTCGACAGAGCGGTTTTCAAACCGTGTCGTCTCCTACGAGTCGGGGGGAACGTACTTGCAAGCAGCGATCTTAATCGCCGCGAAATTATTTATGGAAGGTTCGCCCGCATGATTATTAGACGAGCCGCGCGGTTAACGTTACGGACACGATCGTCGACGGAGTAATATCTTCCGCGGCCATTAATCAATCCCACGGACGAGCAACGGCGGATCCTTGCAATTTTTATTGCGTTTTTCTTTCCCGTCCCGCCGCGGATTCCGAACAACGCCAGCGATTGGCTCAATTTAACTTTTATTAATATCGACATTCCTCCCCGGTTCTCTTTTTACCCTCGTTCTTTTTCATCCCTCCACCACCCCTCTCTCTCTCTATCTTCCTCCTTCTTTCTCTTCCTCTTTCGATACCGTTCCGCCGATTACTCCTTCGTTGGGATTCATCTTTTATTCAGACCGATCGAAGCTTTAATAAAAATAGTCCGATAAGATCCAACGGGACTCGATATTGGCTTATCGGCGCTCCGGCTACAAGATTCTCGATAAGAACGATTTTCCGGGCAGTTTTTAAGGGAAACACCGTGCCAGGATTTTCATTAAAATCGAAGGATTATTACGGCACCGACGGAATTATTTCGCCGATCGGCCGTCTTTATTAAAAACGGGACGCGCGGAAAAATAGTTGGCCGCTTTCCAGCGGCGTTGCTCGAACCACGCGATTCGTTAAATTTTTAAGGGGCCGCCACGTAATTTGCCGCACGCTTACTTCCGATCCAAAGAAAGCGATTACTTTCGTAAACAAAAGAAAAAGGCCAATCAATTAATTGCACCGCACCGTTTTCGCAACGTAATGCCCGTGCACGAGTTTCCGAAATTCGAACGTGTTGCATTCAAAATCGCTGGCTTTACGTTTCTTCTTAGTTAAATTCGAACGACGCGCTACAAAATTGATGTATTTGTTGCAAAGTCGCCGGAACTGTTCACCCCCGGAAATTACCGTGCGAATTTTCGCTGTTAATGATTTTAATGAATGTTTAACTTGAAGTGCAATTTCCATTCTAATAATTCTAACAAATATTTAACTTAAAACGGTGCTTCCATTCTAATGATTCCGACAAACATTTACCCTTAAAGCGGAACTATCGTTGCGATAATTCGAACAAATATTTAACTTAAAACGGGACTTCCATTCTAATAATGTCCAACGAATGTTTTCAACTTAAAGCGGATCGTCCATTCTAATAATTCGAGTTTCCATTCTAGCAATTCTACGACGAAACATTGAACGCCGAAGTAGAGCTGAGCATGTATTCCATTCTAATAATTCTAACGAACGTTCACACCTCGAACGTTGAACTTACAACTATGCAAAATTTTCGCTGTAGTATTTCCATCGAGCGCATATGGTTTGCAACAGCCCGGCGTCATCGAGAAAAAACGAAACAGGAATAAAACAATTGGTAGGATCATTTGTCGTTGCTAGCGAGGATCGTGCTCTCTCTCGAGTTTCCACGGAACGACACGTTGTCGCTGGCGCGGTATTCTCGTTACCGGATTGTACGCGGAGTATAGCACAGCCAGGAGGACGCGACGTAAAAATTATTTATCGCATTGTGCCGCCCGATGAATACATGAATGCAAAATATCCCATTCGCCGGTGAATAAGGGGACGCAGGAGCTTCCGCGGTCTAAGAAGACAGAAAGAGAGAGAGAGAGAGAGGGAGGAGGGAAGCAAAAGAGAGAGGTGGAGCGAAGAAGAGAGAGAAAGAGAGAGGAAAAGAGAGAGGGAGAAAGATGAGGCAAGATCCGAAGGCAACGTGTAGCGCGTGGCAAATGTTATAGCCAATACGTAAACTATTACTTTTACGAGCTTTACTTTATCATTTTTACAGGCGCCACCAGGCACCGTTTTATGATTGGCGTTTATTTAGGCGGCTCGTGTACACGCGTTAAATTTTATCGTGTTCCCATCTACAAGGAACACCGATGCACCGGTGCACCGTGTCATCGCTCGGTTGGCGTTAATGAATTTATCAATGGCATTCCTTTCCCACTAAAAAGCTCTGCCCCGGGAATTAACGTTCGGTCGTTAGCAAACGATTCAGCAATTATGCCTACCGGAAGCACGTTAATACCTTTCTCGATCGCCGGCTCAAAAAGTGCAATCGCAGCGCGGTTTTTAATAATAAAATCAACCGTTTTATTCGAGCCTCGTCTTCGCTTTTTATCCGATCCTTATTATCTCGTTGCACGATGTTTCTTTTCCCGATCACGTTCATTAGCCGTTAATGCAAGTGTTAATAGCATTCTGTCGAACCGAATTCGCGGTTTTATTTACCGATCCGCGGTAAACGATAGCGTGATTCGATGAAGACGTTTAGCGCGAATAACGTAATTTGCAGGAATTATTTCCTCATTTCGTTCTTCTCTTTCTTTCCCTGGAATATTTCCAAAGCTGGACATTGCGGTAATTTGGAAGATATTTCAGGTGCACGGTGAAATTGCGATAAGGATTTACTTTTATCAGATAGAGCAATCGGCGCCGCGGCAAATTTTTCCGTCGACTTATCGCCGTCGAGTACCTGCGAATTACCTCATTATTTGTACTCGCCTGTACCTTACATGTTCGAGTATTTGCTTTTATCGTCGACGAGCGTCGACACGGAAAAGGTGGGAATTTTTCGAAAATTTTCCACTCACCGAAATACCCGAAGAAACCACTCTCCGCGAGCCCTCGACGGACTCGTCCGGCTGACGAACGGCAAACAAGATCGAGAATTTACGGGGCGGTCGGGTTTCTTTTTCTGCCGCGTTAATTCCCCGGACATTATCAATGACGCGGGGTCTAACAGCCGTCGACCCTTAATTAGCGGGCTCCAATTAGTAATCTGCGATTCCGGAACCAGCCGCGGCCGGTATCTTCCGCGAGGCAATCTCTGCGGTTCCATCACTTACTTACATTACCGGGGGGTGGAGGAGGGGTGCACGCCGGTATTACCATAAGAGTGATAGCCGGCGTATCTGGCCGCAGCAATTAAAAACGAGCTAATAATCGGGCCGCGATGAGGTGAAACGGCCGCGCGCGGGTTTCTTTTACAGTCGCTGAATGAACGCGCATCAACACGCGCTCTCCTGCGCCGGCACAATGGCCATTTCTTGCGCGCTCGGCTCTTATTTAAACCGGAAGCGGCGATTCGCGGAGAATGGTCCATTAACGTCGTTCGACGAACCCCGGGCTCCGTTCGGATCGAGCGTGGCTTCG